ACATTTTATTATATAGGCAGACATTAGTGTTGTACTTGTTCCACATTTTTAGTTGTACATAATATGTTGATGTATTCTTCTGAAGTATTTGTATATTAATCTATAGTACTGCCATGCCTTGTGATGTACTACATTTACAACTACATTCTCATTAATTTAAATTATATGCTGCTTTAATTTATTTCTTTTCATTTTCTATTTAATAGAAACAGACTACTCTCTTTTTTTTTTGGTTTTATACTAAATTTTCTGTCCTAAAATATCCTAGTACAGTGTCAAAATCGCACAAATTCCTGCTATGCATTCCAGAACAAAAATTAAAACCATGAGCTGAAATTAGTATTAGTAAGTATTTTTCTGCCAAAAATAAAACAATAACCTTCTTATGATTACCCAGTTCTGATTTTATTTCCAACAGCATTTTTCCAATTCTCCATGTGTACATTTGTTTTATCAGCCAGTTTTTGTTCGAGGGAAAGTTATATTATGTTTTGGAGTTTCTCAGCAAGATTTGACTCTCATACAAAATCTGTTGTGGAAACTAAAGATTTAAGACATGGCGAGAGGGCCTTTCAGCTTCATCTTGACAGGAAAAAACAAATGTAGAAATTTTTGCAAATGTATTAAAAAAGAAAAACTAAAATATCAAGTGGTCACAAGTAGTGTTGCGCCGATGCCATTTTTTGGCCCCGATACCCGATACCTGGCTGTGCAGTATCGGCCGATACCGATACCATAATAATGTAAAATAATTGCCATCATGGCTTTGTCAAGCCGCTGCCTACCTTTGTGAAGCAAGAAAAAATCTAATACAAAGTGAATTTTTTTATTAAAAAGTTCTACTGGATAATAAAAATAAAAAGTTTTTATTGCCTACCTGGAATGGGTGACAATAGTTGAATAAACTTATGGCTCTCCAAATGGTATCAGTGCCCTATTTGTTGGTACTCGCCGATACCGATACCATCATTTTAGGGCTGTATCGGGGCCCCGTCCGATACTGGTATCAGTATCAGTGCAACACTAGTCACAAGTATTCATACCCTTTGCTGTGACACTCATATTTAACTCACAAGCAGTCCATTTCTTCTGATCCTCCTTGAGATAGTTCTGCTCCTTCAATGGAGTCCAGCTGTGTTTAATTTAACTGATTGGACTTGATTAGGAAAGGCACACACCTGTCTATACAAGACCTTACAGCTCACAGTGCATGTCAGATTAAACGAGAATCATGAGTCTGTCTAAGGAGCTCAAAGACAGAATTGTGGCATGGCACAGATCTGGCCAAGGTTACAAAAGATTTTCTGAAGCACTCAAAGTTCATAAGAGCACATAGGCCTCCATAATATTAAAATGGAAGAAGTTTGGGATGACCAGAACTCTTGCTAGACCTGGCTGTCCAGCCAAACTGAGCAAACGTGGGAGAAGAGCCTTGGTGAGAGAGGTAAAGAAGAACCCAAAGATCACTGTGACTGGGCTCCAGAGATGCAGTAGGGAGACGGGAGAAAGTTCCACAAAGTCAACCATCACTGCAGCCTTCCACCTGTCAGGGCTTTATGGCAGAGTGGCCTGACAGAATCCTCTCCCCAGTGCAAGACATAGGAAAGCCTGCAGAGTTTGCCAAAAAACACATGAAGGACTCTCTGACTATAAGAAAGAAGATTCTCTGGTCTGATGGTTAAGGTTAAAATAAAGTGATAGATAATAAATTAATACTGGGTTCTGTGACTCATACACATCAACAGAATTTCCAAAGTTCAAGTTGCTATGCATCTGTCCATATGTCTGCGTAGGTTTGTTTCTTTGTAAGTTTGCTTCTTCCCACAGTAACAAAGACATTTACAATAAGGTAACTAGAGAGTGATGTATGGCGTCTGCCTGATTACTTCTATAGGTGCCTTCTACATGTCTGAGATGTGTCAGAGTGGTTTCCTACCAACGCATAAACTATGTATAAAATACTTGAAGAACAACAATTAAAAGTAAAATATTTGCATTTTGAATGGTATTTGGTAACTTCGCACTAAGGAGAGAAAAAGAGTCATTTACAATAAAGACAGGGTAACAGTAATTCCTCAGGTTTAATGAATGACTTTGAAGAAGGGACAAGCTAAAACACAGTTATGTGAAAATGAAGGTTTTATGCCCTCAATAGAATTTCAACATCTTTAATTGCAAACTCCTTTAAAAAAAAAACGAAAGGTCACGACCAACATTCTTTCCAGCTGTGTTAAAGTGCAGTTATCGCTGTGTTAAATGAGGCTTCAAACATTTTAAAAGTCTGTTGACATTGCTAGTCTCAAAGGGAAAAAATACTTTTTCTTCATGAAGTTTAAATTTAAAGCAAAGATAAAGCAATGACTAATCAAAAGATCACCATCAGCATCACCTTAAATATGCTGAACTTAAAACCTCATACCTCTTTAAACTACATCCAAAGATCTTGGACTGAAACTACCCTTAGAAACTCCCCTAAGGGTAGTTTCAGCCCAAGTTTTATCTCTACCCTTAGAGCTTTGGCTGAAACAATTAATCATGATTAACCGATTATTGAAATAATAGTTAACTAATTTAGTAATCGATTAATCGTTAAATTGAATGTAGAGACTTTAAAACATGCCTTTAGCTGACAAAAAACCCACTTAGAGCTTTAATTATATCAAAATTTTATCAAATATATAAACATTTTACATAAAAAAAACATAACTTTTTCCTCCAAGCAATATGCTCTATCCAGAACTCAAGTGTAAACATTTTAGTTTCATCTGGTTTAATTCTGTAAAAAATCTTTAAGGAACCTTTGGTTATCTGATTGTTAATCGACAGATTAATCGATTTGCTAAATAATCATTACTTGCAGCCCTACTTAGAACTTTTTCTCATTTTATCCCATTACAACCGCAAACATCAAATTATAAAGTACTTGATAGATCAACACAAAGTAATGCAAGGCATGAAAGAAAAACAATGTAGAGGTTAAACTCGGCGCTAGACTACATATCCTAGACTCCAGTCATCTTTTGAAGCTGTCTTTAAGTACCATTTGAAAATAAGGTTTTGTTACAACTACAAACCTAGTTAGTTATTCCTGCTCACCTGATATATCAGAGGTCACTCAAGCAGTAGTTATAGATGCAGCCAAAAAGCCCATGTAAACTTTGGAAGAAGTGCAGATATTCTTTAACCTGACAACAGCCAGATGCATGTCTCGCTCCGCCCAGCTCCACTCACATACATCTGGGAACCCGCCATAGGAATTGCCTTTACTGAAGGCTGGGCCTTATCAAAACTCCTTGCATATGATTGGATAAGCCACTTGTCTGTCATCTTTATTGACGTGCTATTTCAACCACTCACACCGAAGCTAACCCGTGACGCTGTGAGAGGAGGAGCCATTTGGTAGATCAAGCTCTTGCCAAATCCGGTCGGGAGAAGGGCGAAAACATCGTTTCCACCAATAAAAGCCTTCAAAGCCGTTCTTTGATGTTCTTTTAATTAAACAATATCAGATAGATTGGACAACACAGAAGAAATAGCAGCATCAATGCTAACGCTTGCTTCCTCAATGCGAGCCGCCATTGTTGTTGGAATCTCACGGTCGCTTCTCCACTCCAGGACACACCCACCCTGCGTCCTGATTGGACAGACCATAAATTCGGTTGGGGAAATCACTTTCAATGAGCGGGTTCCCAGATGTATGTGAGTGGAGCTGGGCGGAGCGAGACATGCATCTGGCTGTTGTCAGGTTAGATATTCTTAACTCAGATAGGAGAATCTAAGCTGTTAAAGTAACAGTCATTTATCGTGAAATTCCCAAATCTGCCTATTAGAGAAAAGCGCTAAAATATTTTGACAGAAAGCTTTACAGGAAGTCTTGTTTACAGTTTAACAATCAATGAGCGGCAACAGCAAATATGTTAAAGGTGCTCTGATTTGGTACCATTAAGCAAAGAATTACTATTTTGTATCACCATAAAGACAGATAAGATCCGTTTGTAAGTTAAAAGTAGAGCCACAGACTAGCTGCATACTATAATAAGCAGAAGGATAACTTCCTCTATAATGCATCTTAAATGAAGCGTAGAAAAAAAAAACTTCTTCTACATCGATACATTGCTTCGTCTTGCACACCCTGTAGCGCACCACACTTTGGGAATCCCTGCTATAGAAGAAAAGAAGAGTTTTTGGAATGTGAGAGGAAGCTGGAGTACCCGGAGAGAATAGACACATACACAGGAATCATACAATACCCTATTCCTATGAGGAAATAATGATAAAAACTGCCACCAAGCAGCCACCATTCTAGGGATTTTAAGATGGTTAAAACGGCAACAGTTTTTTCTGTATTTTGGCAGTTAAATTCTACAATGGGTAAGTATAATGAATGCAGAGAAGATATAGTTGTTTTGGTGCATTTCATGTTTAAGCATCAGGTTTTGTTTGTTTATGATAATATCTGCAGCCCAATAATTTATGCAGCTATTTTCACTGATTTGGTATTAAGTACAAATATTAAATCTTTGGCAAGACTTCAAAATTACTCTTCTAAGAAGGGTGCTATCTAATTACTAACCTTGAATTATTTCAAAAGGTATGGAGTTAAAGGTAAAGGTATAGATTAAACTACAGACTTTGTTCTAGTTAAATGAATGATAAATGCATCTTACACTTTTCAGATTCATAATTTGTAAAAACATTTAAAAATAATTTATTTTTTCCTTCGAAATGTGTTTGTCTATGAGAGAAAAAGAAATTGAAATAAAGAGTTTTTTCTATTTTAAAAGCTCACAATTTTTTTTAACAACAAAATATAAACTTAGCATAAACATTTCTACATAGTTTTTGATTGATTCTTTTTTAAATATCACAATGAAAAGAAAAAATCTAACTAATATACACAAAGGCTTGGAAAAAGTTTAGGTTAACTGCATTAGTTATGATTAATATGTTCAAAGATGTAGAATGTCTAATTGATATATTTTTTTGTGTGTAATATTTACCTGTTTTAAGTCCAGAGTGATTGTCACATAATGGTAATCCATTCCATTCTTGATAGATGGACTTTGCCACCAACGGTTGGTCCCATCGATGGCATATTCAATAGGATGATGCTCTGCACATAGACAGAAACAAACCAAAATGTTGCATTTGTTTTATACTTAAAAAATAAAATGTGTCTAATCTTAGTTTGGATGCTGGTACTGTACAACTCACACAAAAGCTTTAAAGGAAAAGGCGAATAAAGTTTCACACAACAAAAACATTCTTTGATTTATTCTTAAAGGCAGACACAGAAATAGGAGATATTTTAGTGCTCATAAATGCAAATTAATAGCCTTAAGTAAAGTTCTGTAGTTTTAAGTTGTTGTCAATAACTTGCTGCTTATGTTTGACATTTTCATGAATAAAAGAAGCAAAACATGACAACTGCCTCCAGTTAAATTAAGGGACAGCATTCAGAAAACATCTGATATTGGTTTTCCTTCAACTTTAATTTTACAGCTTCTCCTAAAAAGAGGGGAACATAGAATCTAGACTGCATTAAGTGCAATTTATTTGGAATATTGTCTTTTTCACTATATTGTTTTATGCATATTGTTAAATGTAAAATTTGATGCTTAATGGATTTAGGGATTCCAGGTGATTTTTGTGTGTTGAGGAACCATGTGGCCTAATAAAATTAACATCCTAGGTGTTAAAAATTCTTAGTCGCGATCTTACTCTCAGCCAAAATCAGTTAAATTTGTGACTTAATCTAACTGATTCCAGGACAGAAATTCTTTCGATTAGGGCCCCGTCACGCCTTGACGATTTTTAGCCAGCATATGCCTGATGTAGCAGAATCTCCTAAAACGCTGGCTTATGATGAACTTACTATGGGTTATTTTTTTTTTTTCAATTTTGGGGGTATACATAGCGTATTCATAACAAGTCCACAAGTCAGTGTCCTGAGGGGGGCAGTGATGCGCCTGCTGGTGCCCGGCCGGCATAAAAAGATTTCTTTGATCGCAGTATTAACCTGGCTGCTGTTTACCACCAGCCAAAAAAAAAAAAAAGAAAAATTAAAAAGAAAAAAGAAAGAGGGTTTGTGGTCGCAGCAGATTCAGCGTCATGTGTGCTATAAGTTTGTTGGCCGTGGCCGTGGGCATGAAGGCAGGGAGGGTGCATCACACTCACCTTCTTGTGTTCAGCCCTTCTTGCTCACCCTATGAAGTGTAGAGGAGTACAGACGGTTTCCTCCTGTGAACCCCCTTTTATACCAAAACGCTGCCAATACGCCATTAAACAGTAGCTGTAAGTTAGAAACACGTTCAGCGGTCGCCTGGAACATATCAGGTATGTTTATATGCCTTGGAGATAAGTTCTTGATAAGTTACGCATAAGTTATTCATAGGTTTTGCTTAAGCTAGACACAACGACTTATGAGTAACTTACATTTAACTTATGTCAATGATCAAATAACTTACCTATAACTTATGGCCCATGTATGAGCATGCACTGGCATACATCAAGGAATTTTGAGCATGTTGATGTGTGTTAGTATACTTCAGCCTACTTCAGCATGCTCATAACTTATACAAAACGTCCCAATAACTTATCCAATGTATGCCAGCGTTTTTGCCAGATTTTCCATACGTCAGGCATACTGTAAGCTGATCTAAATCGTCAAGGAGTGACAGGGGCTTTAGATGCTGTCATCTTGAATTGCCAAGGTACTGAGGTCTGATCATAGAAATGTTGATTGTTTTCATACCAATATTCAACAGGGTCACAAGAAATGAGTTGAGAAAATAAGATAGATTAACCTCCAACCATTTGAGAAGAATCAAGCATGATCGATCTCTACAGTCTGGTCATAATCCAGAATTGTACATAGCCCATGTCATTAAACTATATCAGGCACAGATTTTATTTCCCACATGTCTGAAATGTATATTTGTAAACTTTTAAGCTGCGTAAAAAACGAAAATTTCTTATTTAGTTTGATGATAATTATGCCCGACATTGGTTGCAATATAATTGCAAATGCAAAAGGTTGATAATAGGTCACATCATCAGAAAACATATTAACCTTGTCTATTTTTCCCATTTTGGTCCATTGGTGAGGGAAGATTTTCTTCTATTTTCATATACCTCTTAAACTAAACAATCATCTGAATACAATAAACAATAAGATTTCAATTTTTAATTAGATGCTTCTGACAGTAAATACAAAAAAAAATTTTGATTTGACTTTTCCCTGTGCTTTTAACCGATTACATTCCAGCCCTAACCCATCCTTAGTATTGTTGAAACTAAGTTTAGAAGTGATATATAACTTTAAAGTCTGCCAAATTATAAACCAGTAAATAACCAACTGTTCCACTAAAGAAAGAAATCTTTAGCTGTAGGTTTTGCCAAATACCTAATTGAACATTTTATCTACTGTTCAACAGTCTGGATAACTGAATAACAACTAGGCTATTTTTACTTTGTTATCTTTTCATTTTACAAATAATT